CGTGTCCCCTGCAGGTGATCGGGAAGGGCAGCGAGCGGGCGGAGGACAGTTCCATCGATGAGAAGTACCTGATCGCCACCTCCGAGCAGCCAATCGCTGCCCTGCACCGTGATGAGTGGCTGCGGCCCGAGGACCTGCCCCTCAAGTACGCGGGGCTCAGCACCTGCTTCCGCCAGGAAGTGGGGTCCCATGGCCGGGACACCCGCGGCATCTTCCGCGTCCACCAGTTCGAGAAGGTGAAGGAGTGGTCCTGGCAGCAATTCGGGGTGTACCGAGGGCTGCTATGGGGTTCCAGTGGGAATTCAGCATGTTCCAGTGGGAATTCATGGTGTATCCAGTGCCACTGCAGCATCCCCAGCAGGAATTCGGGGAGTACCCATTGTCACCATGGTGCTCCAGCAGGAAGCTGGAGTGTATACCCCATGTCACTGTGGGCTTCCAGTGGGAATTCAAGGTGTACCTGGTGTCACTATGGGGTTCCAGCAGGAATTCAGGGTATACGGGAGGTCACCATGGGGCGAACCTGATGGGAGTTTGGGGTGTACCTGATGTCAGCATCAGTGTTCTCAATGGGAATTCAGGGTGTACCCAATGTCATGCAATGTTCCAGTGGCAATTCAGGATGTACCAGGTGTCACTGTGGTATTCTGATGAGAATTTGGAGTGTGCCTGGGGTCACCATGATGTACCAGCAGCAATTCAAAGTGTTCCACGTGTCACTATAGGGTTCTGATGGGAATTTGGGCTATACCCAGTGTCACCGCGGGTTTTCAGTGGGAATTTAGGGTGTACTGGATGTCACTGTGGGGTTCCAATTGGAATTTGGACTGTACCCACTGTCACCGTGGGGTTCCAGTGGGAATTGGAGCTATACCTGGTGTCACTGTGGAATTCCTTCTCCTGCAGATTGAGCAGTTTGTCTACTCCTCCCCCCATGACAACAAATCCTGGGAGATATTTGAGGAGATGATGGCCACAGCCGAAGAATTCTACCAGTCCCTCGGGATTCCCTACCACATCGTCAACATTGTCTCTGGTAGGGGCCCCTGACCTGCTTCCCAGCATGGCAATTTCTTGTCCCTGGCTCCTTGCTGTCCCCAGCCTGAGGAGGAGGAAGAAGAGAAGGGGACATTTTGTTTTCCGTGAAATTCTCAGCCTTGCTCTGGGTCCGTGGGAGCAGGTGTGGGCACTGCTGTGATGGATTGTCCCTGCTGTCCCTTCTAGAGGGACAATTGGAGTGTCCCAGCTCCTCCTGGAAATGCTTACAGGAAAAACATCTGATTTAAAAGCTCCCTGTGGCTGAGTGGGACCCCTTTATCCCCTTGGTAGAGTAAGAACCCCACGTTCCCACAGCCAAGTGGTAACCCCACATCCCCACAGTTGAGCAGGAATCCCTCATCCTTGTGGCCAAGCAGGAATCCTAGATCCCCATGGCGTAATCCCATCTCCCCATAGTCAAGTGGGAAGCCCATGGCCATGTGGCTGAGAAAGAGCCCCATGTTCCCATAGCTGGATGGGAATCTCACATCTACATGGGTGAGAGGGAGCCCCATATCCCCATGGCACAGCAGGAGCCCAGTGTTCTGTGGCTGAGCCGGAATTCCCCATCCCCATGTCCAGGCAGGACTCTACACTCCCATGTCCCCAAGGCCATACAGCTTGTGGCTTGTTGACCCTGTGGCCAAGCAGGGACCCCATATTTACATGGCTGAGAGGTAACCCCGTATCACTGTGGCAGAGCAGGAACCCATATTGGATTGCCACCAAGCTGCAGGAGTGACTTTGGCGGCTTCACCCTACATTCTGTCTCAGGATAGGTAAATTCAGGATGGCAGTGGGACCCCCCACTCAGCACTGTCCCCCCTTCAGGCTCCCTGAACCACGCAGCTAGCAAAAAACTGGATCTGGAGGCCTGGTTCCCTGGCTCTGGCGCCTTCCGTGAGCTCGTCTCCTGTTCTAACTGCACCGACTACCAGGCCCGGCGCCTGCGCATCCGCTATGGCCAGACCAAGAAGATGATGGACAAGGTGAGGCTAGTGGGCATGGGGAGGTTCTTCCTGTGTTCCTTTGTTTTCCCCATGTCACATGTGTCCCCTCTGTCCCTCTGCCACAGGTAGAGTTTGTGCATATGCTGAATGCCACCATGTGTGCTACCACCCGCACCATCTGCGCCATCCTGGAGAACCACCAGACCCCTGAAGGTATCCGCGTCCCTGAGAAGCTCCAGAACTTCATGCCCCCAGGTAACATCCCCCTGTGCTCTCCCTGTCCCCCGTTCCTTGGCCGGGGGGGTGACAGGGGTCCCTTGTCTCCCCAGACCTGCGAGAGCTGATTCCGTTCATCAAGCCGGCACCCATTGAGCAGGAGCTCTCCAAGAAGCAGAAGAAGCAGCAGGAAGGGAGGGGCAAGAAGAAGGCGGGGGGGGGACGCGACCAGGTGCTGGAGGAGCAGATGAAGAATATGGAGGTCTGAGGGTGTCCCCCCACACCCCAAGGACTTTGGGGGCCTCCTGAGTCATCTCCACCATCATCTTTGCCTTGGAGGGGAGTCACCATCTGTCCCTCCCGTGCCACAAAGAACTGTCAGGGCACTGCCTCTCTCCCTATGTGTTCCCCCTACATTGATGAGTGGGGCCAGAATCCCCCATGTGTCCCTCTCATGCTGAGTGGTATCGGACCCCCATGCCCACCTAACATGTCCCTCCTCCATCCAAAATAAAGCCAAGAGTTGCTGAGCTGTGTGTTCTTGGTGGGGTTCCGAGGAGGGAAGGGGATAGAATCCAGCCCGGGGTGGTGTCTCCGTGACACACCACCCATCCTCCCCGCACCCCCCTCCCCCCCCCGCACTCCCTTCCCCCCTTCTCTCTCTCCTGCCAGCCCCACACAAAGCCCCAGACAAAGCCCCTTTGTGATGCAAAGTGGGGCCGAGGGCCCCCAGCCTCAGCTCCAGCTGCTGCCCAGCCCCCCTCCGGGGTGGGGTGACAGGGGAGAGTTGCTCCCTTCCATCCCCATACGGCGAGGCCTGGCTGTCCCCCGCTGCGTGTGCGTGGGAAACCCCCGGCTGGGCCATGGGTGTCGGGTGGAACCGGCGGGGAGCGGCCCAGTGAGTCACCGGAGCCGCCGGCGGAGGCGGGGAGGTTCCGGCGCTCCAAGCACCGCCCCGGCTCTGGGGGGCCCCTCCCCGGTACCCGTCGGACCCGTTCCGCCGGGGGGGAGCCCGACTCCACGCCGCCTACCTGCACCCACGCCCCGGGACCGGCGCCGGCTTGGGGGGTGGGAGGGGCAGCACCCGCGGACTGCGAGGATCGGCACCCGTCTGGATTCTGCAGTCCCTCCCAGTCTGTCCCAGCACCCCGCAACGTTCCTTGTCCCTCCTAGGTTGTCCCAGTGCCCCCCAGCATCCTCAGTCACTCTCAGTTTGGTCCAGTCTGTTCTATTGCCCCCAGTCCTGGTGCGGTGGGACTAGCCCGGGGATCGGGTGGGGGGGGTGCCACGGAGTGAGGGGACACGAACTCCCGTGTGTGGAGTCACGGCCGGCGGTGAGGATATGGGGGGCTTGGGGGGCGTGAGTATGTCACACGTGCTCTATGTGCCACACGTGTGCTGTGTGTCTACACACATGATCCCTGTGCTGTGTCACACACGTGCTCTAGTCTCACGGGTGTGCTCCGTGTGTGTTTCACATGTGCTCTGTGTGTCACATACGTGGTTCCCATGTCACATGTGCTCGCTAGTGCTTGTGTGCCCTGCGTGTGCAACACGCGTGCCCGCAATGCACGGGTGCGTGCAAGGCCCTTCACAGGCGTGCACCTTACATGAGTGTGCGAAGCCTGGCGCGGTGCACGCTCGCTGCCCCCGCGCTGCCGCTGCCGGTGCGGTTGCGGATGCCGCCGGCGGGTGCCGGGGGCGGCGGCTCCTTTAAGCGCGGCCAGCCCGGTGCATTGGCGGCTCCGCCCCGGCGGGCGCGCGCGGGCGAGGGCGGGGCGCAGGCGGCGGCGCGGGTCGCTGCGGGCACCAGCACCGGCACCGGGGGCATCGGGGGGCAGCGGCCATGGGCCCTCCGCCCACCCGCCAGGCCGCACTCCCGCTGCTGTCGCTGTTGCTGCTGCTGCCGCTGCTCACACCAGGACCCGCCACCGGCATCGGCTCCAGCACCCCCACAGGATTCGGCACCGGCAACGGCACCGGCACGCGCACCCGTTCGTCCAGCACGCTCCCGGCGCCACTCCAGCTCCCCGGCGGCACCGGTGACCGCGGTGGCTTCGGCGGCACCGGGGACAGCGGCGGCGCGCGGCCCCCGCCGAGCACCGGGGACAGCGACGACAGCGCTGGGCCCGCACCGGCCGCGGGCAGCAGCGATGGGATCGCACCAGGCACCGGCTCTTCCAGTGGGGACAGCAGCGGTGGCGTTAGGGGGTCCCCAGGTATCGGCGGCACCAGGGTTATCAGACACACTGCAGGCACTGCGAATGCAGGAGACACTTGGAAGCCTGGAGGCACTGGGTACGCTGGGGGCGTTGGAAGCACCAGGGATGCTGGAGGCACCCGAGAGAGTGGAGGCACCGGGGTGACTGGAGGAACTGGAGACACTGGGAGCACCCATGTCCTCAGGGGCACCAGGAGCACCAGGAATACTGGACACACCGAGGACACCAACATCCCCATGGACACCAGGAGCACTGTGAACGTGCTGACCACTGAGAGAGTTGGGGGCACTGGGAGCACTCCAGTCCCCAGGGACACTAGGAATTCTGAACGCACTGGGGAGACTGAGAGAGTCCCCAGCGACACCAGGAAATCTCTGGACACTGGACATGCTAAGAACACCGGACATGCTGAGAACACCAACATCCCCAGGGAGACCAGTGGCACTGGGGATGTGATGGACACTGGGGATGTTGGGGAGTCCCAGACCACAGTGGTCCCCAGACCCCCCATACCTCACCACCGCCCTTGCCGCAGCCCCAACACAGCACCACAGTTCCAGCCCTCCAGCTACCAGGCCACAGTAGAGGAGAACCAGCCAGCAGGCACACCGGTGATAAAGGTGACAGCACAGGACCCTGATGAGGGGGAGGCAGGCCGGCTGCACTACGCCATGGCTGCACTCTTCGACAGCCGCTCTGATGCCCTCTTCACCGTGGACCCTGTCACTGGTGCCATCAGCACTGCTGCACCGCTGGACCGTGAGAGCAAGAGCACTCACGTGTTCCGCGTGACAGCAGTGGACCACGGGATTCCCCGGCGCACTGCCATGGCCACACTGACAGTGACAGTGAGCGACACCAACGACCACAACCCAGCCTTCGAGCAACCAGAATACCGGGAGAGTGTGCGAGAGAATCTGGAGGTGGGCTATGAGGTACTGACGGTACGGGCCACTGATGGCGACGCCGGTCCCAATGCCAATATTCTCTACCGCCTCCTCAATGCTGGTGATGCCAATGAAGTGTTTGAGATTGATTCCCGCTCAGGTGTCATCCGCACCCGTGGCTCTGTGGACCGGGAAGCGGTGGAGGCCTTTGAGCTGTTGGTGGAGGCCACAGATCAGGGCCAGGATCCAGGTCCCCGGAGTGCCACGGCCACTGTCCGCATCGCTGTGGAGGATGACAATGACAATGCGCCGCAGTTCAGTGAGCGGCGTTATGTGGCTCAGGTCCCTGAGGACACGGTGCCCAATGCAGTGGTTCTGCAGGTGACAGCCACTGACCGTGACAAAGGCAGCAATGCGCTGGTGCACTACAGCATTGTCAGCGGCAACACTCGTGGGCACTTCTACATTGATGCACAGACAGGCACGCTGGATGTTGTTACCCCCCTGGACTACGAGATCACCAAGGAGTTCACCCTGCGCATCCGGGCACAGGATGGTGGCCGTCCACCTCTCTCCAACATCAGCGGTTTGGTTACCATCCAGGTGTTGGATGTCAATGACAATGCACCCATCTTTGTCAGCACGCCCTTCCAGGCCACCGTACTGGAGAACGTCCCCGTGGGCTACTCTGTCATCCATGTACAAGCCATTGATGCTGATTCAGGTGACAACAGCCGGTTAGTTTACACCCTGCTGGAAACTGGCACCAGCTTCCCCTTTGCCATCAACAACAGCACCGGATGGATCGTGGTGGCCTCTGAGCTGGACCGGGAGGTGGTCGATTTCTACGGTTTTGGGGTGGAGGCGCAGGACCAGGGCACCCCCCCAATGGCCTCCACAGCCAGCGTCAGTGTCACCATCCTGGATGTCAATGACAACAGCCCTGAGTTCACCCAGCGGGAGTATGGTGCCCGCCTGAACGAGGACGCGGCAGTGGGCACCAGTGTCCTGACTGTCTCTGCTGTCGACCGTGATGCTAACAGTGTCATCACATACCAGATCTCCAGTGGCAACACCCGCAACCGGTTCTCCATCACCAGCCAGAGTGGTGGTGGGCTCATCTCTCTTGCCCTGCCCCTGGACTACAAGCTGGAGCGGCAGTATCTGCTCACCATTGCTGCCTCTGATGGCACCCGCCAGGACACTGCCCAGGTGGTTGTCAATGTCACCGATGCAAACACCCACCGCCCCGTCTTCCAGAGCTCCCACTACACCGTCAACATCAATGAGGACCGGCCAGTGGGCACAACAGTGGTAGTCATCAGTGCCACAGACGAGGACACAGGGGAGAACGCCCGCATCACCTACCTGATGGAGGACAGCATCCCCCAGTTCAGCATTGCCACTGAGACTGGTGCGGTCACCACCCAGATGGAGCTGGACTATGAGGACCAGGTGTCTTACACCTTGGCCATCACGGCACGGGACAATGGTATCCCGCAGAAATCTGACACAACTTACCTGGAGATCCTGGTGAGTGATGTCAATGACAATGCACCCCAGTTCCTCCGTCATTCCTACCAGGGATCCATCTATGAGGATGTCCCCACCTTCACCAGCGTCCTCCAGGTCTCTGCAACTGACCGTGACTCTGGGCTCAATGGCAGGGTCTTCTACACCTTCCAAGGGGGTGATGATGGTGATGGGGACTTCATCATTGAGTCTACCTCGGGCATTGTCCGCACCTTGCGCCGTCTAGACCGGGAGAATGTGCCACTCTATTCCTTGCGGGCATTTGCCGTGGATAAGGGGGTCCCAGCACAGAGAACGCCAGTGGAGATCCAGGTGACAGTGTTGGATGTCAATGACAACCCACCCGTGTTCGAGCAGGATGAGTTTGACATCTTTGTGGAGGAGAACAGCCCCATTGGGCTGGTGGTGGCCCGGATCACCGCCACTGACCCTGACGAGGGCACCAATGCCCAGATCATGTACCAGATCGTGGAGGGCAACATCCCCGAGGTCTTCCAGCTGGATATCTTCTCCGGAGAGCTCACTGCCCTTGCTGACCTGGACTATGAGACCAAGGCTGAATACATCATGGTGGTCCAGGCAACCTCGGCACCACTGGTCAGTCGGGCCACCATCCATGTGCGCCTGCGTGACACCAATGACAACAGTCCCCAGCTCAAGAACTTTGAGATCCTCTTCAACAACTACATCACCAACCGCTCCGGCAGCTTCCCTGGGGGCGTCATTGGCCGCATCCCTGCCCATGACCCTGATGTCTCTGACCACCTCACTTATGCGTTTGAGCAGGGCAATGAGCTCAACCTTGTGCTGCTGGACCCCCACAGTGGGGATCTGCGCCTCAGCCCGGCCCTGGATAACAACCGCCCACTTGAGGCTGTCATGAGAGTGTCTGTCTCTGGTAAGACCACCGCCCCTGGAGGGCACCTTGTGGGAGGAGGCGTGTGAGGTTTGTGGGTACATCAACCTCTATTTCTGCATGGAGGCGAGGTGCTATGGGATCTCACTACCCTGTTTTGGCTGCCCTCACTCTCTGGATCAGAAGGGATGATGTGTTGTGGGGTCCTACCACCCTACTAAGGTGTTTTGAAGTTCCACCACCCCATCCTGGTTGCCTCCACCCTCCAGATCTAGGGGGGTGGGGATAATGGGATGCTGTGCCCCCCTCACACCCCAGACATCCAAGCTGGAGGCCATCAAGTTAGCACTCCTTTTGTTTTCCCCACCTCCCTGCGCTGTCCAGAGGTGGTCCTGGCACTTCTCTGTTTGTCACTGAGAGGGTGGGGATACATACCCACTGTATGTACTGGGGGAGCAGAGGCTGGTGTGGGCCAGCGAGGTCCTGGTATCCTTGGGGGCTAACTATCGGGGTCTCATGGGTGAATCTGAGAAGGCTCAGGGTGTAGTGCAGTACTGGGGGAGTCCTGGCACCACAGTGTTAGTGTTTGCAGGAGACTCCACTTGAATGAATTCAGGGCAGGAGACACAGAGTCTGGTGTCTGTATTTGGGGGGGCACCCTGACCTCCACTGAAAGGTCCTCAAACCCAGTGGGGAGGGGTCACAAGATAAGGGGGGTTGTGCTGTAAGCTGTCAGCACTGTTTGGGCGGTGGGGTGTCCACAGTGGGGATCACCCCAAGGTGGGGGAACGTCTCCTTGGTCACCCCAGGCCAGGGGGAAACTGGGTCACAGGCCATGCCTGATGGCCATTGTCCCCAGCCACAAGGCCCCCATCACCCCCAGTTTCCCCTGGCTGGGGTCCCTGCTCTGACCACACAAAGTAGGGGGCCCAGGGCACAAAGGGTGGGGGCAGGGAGTCCCCCGTGCCCACCCCCACCCCCATGTGCAGGGGCAAGCGGGAGCGAAACAAAAGGTCCAGCCATAGCTGGGCCCTCGCGGCCGTGGCCATGGCAACCTTCCCCCCCGCCCCCTCATTGCTGGCCACTGGCCACCAGTCACTGGCCCCGGGCCACTGGGCAGCCCTGGCCTCTGCCACCCCCCGTGGCACCCCTTTTTCCTGCTTGGCTCCCCACCTGTCCCCATGCTCCCTTCATCCATTTGTCTGCCTGCTCCCCATCTGTCCTGCATCCCACTGCCCTCAGCCAGGGGGAGGACAAAGAGGGGGAGGAGAAAGGTGGGTGCCCCAGTGCTTAGCAGAGATTTTGCTCCCCAAGCCCCACACCCAACACCAACCCCATAACCAGCACCAGCCCCATAACCAGTGCTGGCTCCATAACCAGTCTCAGCTTCATAGACAGAAAACCAGCCCCATAACCAACCACCGGCCCCATTCAGATGCCCCCCACCCCACAGTGTCCAAGCAGGATGGGCACCCCATGACGCACACTGTCCCCATTCCATAGTCACCGAGCAGAATGGGCACCCACAACCAGCACCAGCCCCATAACCAGTGCTATATCCCCATTCAGTAGTGGCCAGGTCCGACTTGAGCCTTGTAACCAGTTCCAACCACATTGCCAACACCGTCCCCATCCTGCTGTCCCTACTCTGTGATGGCCAGGTGGGATGGGCACCCCAAAAACAGCACCAGCCCCATAACCAGGACCAACCCTATAACTATCACTGTCTCCATTGCTTGGTGGCTGAGCAGGAAAGGTCCCCCATAGCCTGCACTGTCCCCACCTAATTGTCCCCATTCCATGTTGGTCAAGTGGGATGGGCACCTCCTAGCTAGTATTGTCCCCATTCCACAGTGACTACATGGGCCAGATGTTTCATGGCCAGTGCTGTCCCCATTCTATGGTGGCCAAGCAGGTCAAGCCCCCATAGCACAGTCCCCATAGCAGCTGATTCGGTTGGTTGACCCATATCCAGCACTATTCCCGTCCCTCCATCCTTTCCCAGAGTTGCCCATTGCTGTCACTGACCCACTCCTGTGTCCCCTCTTTGTTCCCAGATGGCGTTCACAGCGCAACAGCGCAGTGCACGCTGCGGGTGACCGTGATCACTGATGAGATGCTCAGCAACAGCATCACCCTGCGTTTGGCCGACATGTCCCAGGAGCGCTTCTTGTCCCCCCTGCTCAGTCGTTTCCTGGAGGGTGTGGCCTCTGTCCTAGCCACCCCCCGCCACCGCGTCGTCCTCTTCAACATCCAGACGGACACAGACGTGGGTCCGGCGCGAATCCTCAATGTCAGCCTCTCTGCCCTGCTGCCGGCGGCAGTGCCGGGCGCGTCGCGGTTCTTCTCGTCGGAAGAGCTGCAGGAGCGCTTGTACCTCAACCGCTCGCTCCTGGCGGCCACCACGGCCCAGCGCGTCCTGCCCTTCGATGACAACGTGTGTCTGCGCGAGCCCTGCGAGAACTACATGCGCTGCGTCTCCGTCCTGCAGTTCGACAGCTCCGCGCCCTTCCTCGCCTCCGACACTATCCTTTTTCGCCCTATCCACCCCGTCACGGGCCTGCGCTGCCGCTGCCCGCCTGGCTTCACCGGCGACTACTGCGAGACCGAGATCGACCTCTGCTACTCCAGCCCCTGCGGCAGCAACGGGCGGTGCCGGAGCCGTGAGGGCGGATACACCTGCGAGTGCCATGAAGACTTCACTGGTTAGAGCCACTGGCCAGCCCTTCCTCATAGTGTCCGTCCTCATCTTTCCTCATCCATCTCCTCTTCACCTCTCCCTCCCTCCCTCCCTCCCCCCCTCCCTCCGCTGGTAGACTGGTGCCACTGGAGCCATACCCCCTACCCCCAAGCTGGGACTCCAGCCCCCACGAGAGCCCCTGTTGGGGGGTGCCAGCCAGGTGGGGGAGGAGATGTGAGAGGAGGGGGTGTCTCTAGGTTTCCATGGCAATGAGAGGTGGTTGCCATGGTGATAGAGCTGGGGATAAAGATACTGGGGGGGGGGAGGGAGAAGAGATTCCCACCCTCCCACTTGATGTCACATTGGGGAGCCCTGTGAGTGGGGGCTCCTCTCTCCTGAGGGAAGAACTCGGTGTTTACTGGGGGGTGGGGAGGAAAGAGGACCCCCACTCCCCATTCTTGAGATGCTGATGCCATCGGGGTATCACGCAGGGGAGCCCTGCAAGCTGAGCACCTGGGGGGGCCACTCTCGGTTTAATGGGGAAATGTGTGGGAGATGGGAGTCCTTACCCCAGTTTTGGGGTTCTGGATGTCACTCAGGGGAGCACTGTGAGCTGAGTGCCCGGGGGGGCCGCTGCACCCCGGGGGTCTGCCGGAATGGGGGCACCTGTCTGAACCTGCTGGTGGGGGGATTCTGGTGCCAGTGTCCCCCTGGGCACTATGAGAAGCCCTTCTGCACCATGAGCACCCGCAGCTTCCCCCCGCACTCCTTCCTCACCTTTCGTGGCCTCCGCCAGCGCTTCCACTTCACCCTTGGCCTCACGTGAGCCTGGGGGAATCTGGGGAGGTGGGGGGTGATGTGTACCCCTGTGGGTGTCGCATTGGGTGTGGGGTAGATGGTGATGGTTGCCCCATTGGCATGAGAGGAGATGGTGGGGTGTGAGGTGATGGGTGTCTCGTGGGCACTGGGTGGGTTGTCATCATTTGGGGTGTGAGGTGGTAAGCGTCTCAATGGCATCTGATGGGGTGGGATGCCCCATTGGCGTCATCTGGGATGGGTGGTGATCGGTGCCCCATTGGCATCATGTGGTCTGTGGAGTGATTGGGTGTGGGGTGATGGGCACCCTGAGGGCAAAGAATGGGAGCAAAGGATGTGGTTGACCCCTTGGCATGGGGGGCAGTGGGGGCAGGGGCTGATGCATACCACCATCTTACAATGGGTACAAGGTCATGGGGCAGGGTGTGAGGGGTGTTCCTTAGGGGCACAGCAGGGTCAGGGGGTGTTGGGGAGTACCAGAGTGGAATGGTGAGATTGGGGGTCATTGGGACACCCCTGGCACTTGTGTCCCCCAGGTTTGCCACACAGGAGCGGGATGGGCTCCTGCTTTATAACGGACGTTTCAACGAGCGACATGACTTTGTGGCACTGGAGATTGTGGATGAGCAGCTGCAGCTCACCTTCTCAGCAGGTATGCACTGTCCCTGCCACATCCTGGCACTGCGCCCTTGCACCCTTGTGGGCACTGTATCCTTCACTGCATCCCTCGCTTCATCCCAGACATCCCAAACTGGCACTGCCTGGGACTGCATCCTGGGCATCCCATTCCCGGCCCTGCATCTGTTGTTGCATTCCTCACTGCATTCCTCACTGCATCCCTGGCCTGCCATTCTTGGTGCTGCCTGACACTGCATCCCTGGCATCCCACCCCTGACACTGCATCCCTGGCACTGCATCCTGGACATCCCATTCTAGCACTGCATCCCCTGCATCATGTCCCAAACACTGCATCCCTGGCACTGCATCCTGGGCATCCCATTCCTGGCACTGCCACCCCTCCTTGCCTCTGGCTGTGTTGCCCTGACACTGTGCCCACAGGTGAGACCACCACCACGGTGTCACCCTTTGTGCCAGGAGGGGTCAGCGATGGGCAGTGGCACCGAGTGCAGCTGCACTACTACAACAAGGTGGGGGAATGGGGGCACAGTGGGTGGGGAGTGTTTGGGGCAGACAGAGGAAGAGAAGATGGAGGGGAAGGGTGGGGAAATGGAGAGATGGGGAGGATCAGGTAGGGGGTTTGGGGCATCTAAAGGACCCCTAAGGGATGTGTCCACCTATGAGGGTCCCAAGGGAGGGGAGATGGGAGATGGAGGAAGAGGAAGGAGTGGAAGAGAAGGGAGTGTTGGAGGGATGAGGAGAGAGGAGATTTGGGGGACTTCAAGGGACTCTCAAGAGCTGCCCCCATCCATAAGGATCCCAGGGGACCCTCACCCATTAGCTCAACCTATTGGCCCTCTGAGGAACCCCATCTACCTTCCTCACCAGGGGAGACCCCCAAGGAATTGGGATGGGGGGACGAAGGAAGAAGAGGTCAAAGGGGTAGTGGCTTGGGGGGAATGAAGGGGACCATTGAGGTTTAAGGGAGGCTGAAGGGGTGGAGAGGAGTGTTGGGAGATCTGAAATGTGGGGAGCTGGTGGGGTGGAGGAACATGGGAGTCTGGTGAGGGCTGAGGGGCCAGAGGGCAGTGGGAGGGTGAGGAGCGGGACAAAGGCTGCAGGATAGGCGTCCTGGGCCCCCTCACCTGATGTGGGGGCTCCCAGCCGGTTGTGGGGCGCTCGGGAGTCCCACAGGGCCCCTCAGAGCAGAAGGTGGCTGTGGTGACTGTGGACGACTGTGACACGGCCATGGCCCTGCGCTTCGGGCCCCGCCTCGGCAACTACTCCTGCGCTGCCCAGGGCACCCAGACTGGCAGCAAGAAGTGAGGGGGGCCTGGGAATCCCATGGGTGGAGGTCTCTTGGGGTACCCACAGAGGGGTCCCTTGGAGGTGAACGGTCCCTATGGGTGAGGTACCTTTGGAGTCCTCCCTGGTCCCTCAGGGGTGACAGATCCCTATGGATGGAGGGGTCACTGGAGGTCCCCATGGGTTGGGGAGGGTTCTCTTGGGGTCTCCATGTGTTATGGGGTTGGGGAGTCCCTTGGGGGTCTGTTGAGTTCCTCACGGGGGAACACGCCTTGGGTGGTCCCTCAGGTTCCTACAGGTTTCCCATAGGGGTGAGTGGGTGTTCTTTGGGGTTCCCTTGTGACTCCTGTGGGATGGGGGGTGGCTGGGTGTCTCTTTGGATTCCCTCGGTGTCCCCATGGGTTGTGGGGTGACTCGAGGATCTCCTGAGTCCCCGAGGTGATGGTAGACTCTACAGGTCATTGGACCTGACGGGGCCACTGCTGCTGGGGGGGGTCCCAACGCTGCCCGAGAGTTTCCCGATCCGCAGCCGACACTTCGTGGGGTGCATGCGGCACCTCCACATTGACCAGCGTCCCGTGGACATGGCAGCCTTCATTGCTAACAATGGCACCCTTCCCGGTGGGCTCTGGGGCCAGGACACTGGCCAGGGGCTGGGGGCGGGGGCTGTGTTCCTTCGAGCAGAGGGAGATGGGGTGTGGGGTTAAGGAGTACCTGAGCAGTGTCCCCTGAATGATGGGAGGGGGTTCCAGGGCTGGAGGGATGGATGGGGGTCCAAAGGCCACAAGGGATGCTGTGCCCCCTGGGCGTGGGATGGGAAGTTAGGGGGTGCAGATGTGGGTTCAGGGGTACCAGAGCCATGGGGCTGTGCCTCCTAGGTGTGGGAAGGGGGTGCCAGGGTAATGGGGCTGGATAGGGGTCCAGGGACATGCTAGTAGGGCATTCTGTGTGCCTTGGTTGTGGGGTGGGGGATGAAGGGCTGCCAGGCCATTGAGCTGGAGTGGATGGCACAGACAAAGCTGTGTCCCCTGGGAATAGAGTGGGGAGATGCCAGGACTGGGGGGCTGGATGGGGCTGTATTCCCTTTGGAGTGGGGTTGGGATGTGAGGTGTAGGATAAGGGGGTACTAGGACTGTGGGGTTGGATAAGGGTTCAAAGATGTGGGGGTGTCTGTGCCCCATGGGGCCAGAGGTCCCAGGTCATGTGTGGCATGTGGCCCCTGTGCCCCCTCACAGGTTGTCCCCCCAAGAAGACCCTGTGCGACACCAATACATGCTACAACGGTGGAACCTGCGTGCATGAGTGGGGGGGATTCAGCTGCCGCTGCCCGCTGGGCTTTGGGGGCAAAACCTGCCAGGAGGGTACTGGGGGGCCTGGGGAGACAGTATGGTGGGGCTGTGAGGGGTCCATAGGCTTGTTTTGGGTCCGTGGAGGGCATGGGGAGGGTCTCTGGGTGGGTGTGAGGGGTGTGGGAAGGAGGTGAGGGGCATCCCGGATGTGTTTAGGGGTCCGTGGAGTTGTTGTGGGTTCGTGAGGGGGTATGGGGGGTCTGTGGGTGGGTGCAGATCTGTGGGAGGGTGCGTTGGCATCTGTGGGATATGCATGGGGTCCCCGGGTGGGTGCTGGAGATCTGAGAGTGGGTATATGAGAGGACGTGTGGGGTTGTGGGTGGAGTCCATGGGCGGGCGTGGGTACGGGGGGGGGGCTTGGAGGGGGGTCCGTGGGAGTCGCCCCGTGTCCCACATGCATGCCCCGCAGAGATGGCGGGCCCGCAGCGGTTCGTCGGCAGCAGCCGCGTGGCGTGGAACGGGCTGGCGCTGCCCCTCTCCATGCCCTGGCCAGTCCGCATCATGTTCCGCACCCGCCACCCCCGCGGGGTTCTGCTGCGGGCGGGGGCCGGAGCTCGTCTGACCCTCATCCTGCAGGTGGGCACGGGGGAGGCATGGGGAAGGCACAGGGGAGTCGAATAAGGGAGTTTTCCTGAGGAAAGTGCCTTGAGGGAATTATTGCTTTGGGTGGGGGTCATTTCCACAGAAGGTATTGGTTTTGGTGTCCTTGGCATAGGGGACATTGCCTTGGGAGGGTATTGACTTGAGTGGGAGCATAGGGGAGTTAGCACTGGGGCAGTGCCAGGGGTTATTGCTCTGAGGGTGGGGGGGTTATTGGCATTATTGGCATTGGTGAGTTGTTGGCACAGGGTTTATTACCCTGGGAGGGTTATTGGAATAAGAAGTATTGCCTGGGCGGTATGTATGGCCACGGGGAGACAGTGGCGTGGAGGGTTGGAACAGGGGAGTTACCCTGAGAGAAGTGCCAGGGGAGTATTGCCGTGGAGGGGGTCTATTGGCATCGGCGGTATTGCCTGGGGGGGGGGGTGCAACGGGGTGCCATCCCTTGGGGGGATGCGGGGGCATTACCCGAGGGGTTGTGTTATTGTCCCAGGGGAAATTTGTATTTCCTGGTGGGCAGTGCCTGGTGCCCACCAGATTTTTGGAGTCCTTGACATGTCTACCCCTCACAGCTGAGCGAGGGGCAGGTGGAGGCTGCTGCCTGGCAAGGGGGCTCCCGTTTGGCCACCCTGCATCTGCCCCAGGCCAAAGTCAATGATGGTGCCTGGCACCACGTGGAGCTGGAGCTGCGGGGGGGCCCTGGACGCAGCCCTTCTGCCACCCTCCTCCTCCTCACCCTCGACTATGGCCGCCACCAGGTATGGGGAGACTGAGCCACAAGGGGGCATCCACTCTGATGATCTCCGGATGCCATCGTGGCACCCCTTGTGGCACCCCAAGGTACCCACAGGGTCCCTGTGCTCCCCAGGCAGTGGGCGATGTTTCTGGAGAGCTGCAGGGCCTGCGGCTGCACACGCTGAGCCTCGGAGGGCTGCTGGGGGACAGTGGCACCGTGGAGGAGGGGTTCCAGGGGTGCCTGCAGGTACAGAGGCATGGGCACAGAGAGCAATGGGCAGCATGGGGTGGCAGGTGTAGGGGTGGGGGATGGGTTTGGGGATGTGGAGGAGGGGGTAAAGACATGGTCACAATGGGAGGGCAGCACAGGGACATGGCATAGGTCTTGGGGAAATGGGCACAGGGATGTGGGCACAGATGTTGGGGCTGTAGCACAGGGTGAGGACAGGGCACAATGAAGCAGAGCCTTGCCTTGGGGATGGGGACATGTGCACGATGAAGAGAAGCACAGGGACGTGAGTACAATTTTTCGGGACCTGGCACAAGGTTTAGGGACATGGGCCCAGGGCTTGGGGATGTGGCACAGGGACCAGGAACAGTGAAGCCAGGCACCGGGCTTGGGGATATGGGTATGATGAAGGGATGCACAGGGATTGGGGACATGGATACAGTGGGAGGGAGCACAGGGATATGGGCACAGGGCTTGGGGACATGGCATGGGGAGTGGGGATGTGAGCATGATGAAGGGTAGCACAGGGACATTGGGACATGGGCACAAGGATGGAGACATGGGGTTTGGGAATGTGCCAGAGAAGTGGGGACGTGGGCAGGATGATGGGGGGCACAAGGGATGTCGCCAAGGACAGGGGGACATGGGCAGAATGGGTGGGAGGCACAGGGACGTGTCACAGGATTTGGGGATGTGAAGTGTGGGCATAGTACAGGACATGGGGACATGGGCAAGATGGAGAAGGGCACAGGGATGTGGGTACAGGGAGTTGGCACAGGACAAGGAGACATGGGCTCTGTGGGCAGGGGGACATTGGGGATGCACTGGGTACTCATGGGCGTAGTGACATGGAGTGCAGGAACATCACCCCAGGGCCTGGGCAGCATGGGTACATGGCCGTGGAGACACTGGTGTGACTGGGGAGGTCTTGGGTGGTACAGGGCGTACTGGCTGGTGTTGGGGCCACACTAAGAAGTGACATGACTGGGGAGAGGGGCTGGTGTGACATAGCAAGTCCCGGTGTGGGGTTTGGGGTGTCACGTGTTGTGGGGACAGACTGAACAGGATGACACAAAAGGTCCTGGGTGGTAGCGAGGGACATTGAGGCTGGGCATGGCACTGGGGCAGGAGGGGTCATGGTGGCTGGGGCTTCACTGGGGTCATTGACAGGTGACCCCACATAGGGAAGTTGGGTGGGGTGAGGGGGTGTCCCAGGTCAATGAGGGGTCACTGCAAGTGACATGGGAGTACCACCAAGTGGTGCTGAGTTTGGTGCTGAGGTACGATAACAGGTGACATGATGCAGGGGATTCCGGGTTGCACAGTGGGTCCGGTGTCATGGTGGGGGAAACTGAGGAGGGGGTGACACTGCAGGGTGGTCCAGGTTGTCCTGAGATGTCCTGTGTTGTGGTGGGGAGCACTGAGGTCGGGATGACAGTTGGGCAGGTGTTTTCGGGTGATATAGTGGGTCCCGTGTGGTGGTGAGATCACACTGATGGTGACACCGTGCAGGGAGTTCTCGTGGGGTCTCGGGAGAATGAGGGAAGATGGGAGGAAGGTCTTGGGGGAATGGTGAGGGAAACTGAGGCATGGAGTGTTGAAGGGACCAGGGTGGCTCGAGGTGTTGCAATGAAGATGGGTGATCCTGCAGGGCCTGCGTGTTGGTGACCCTGTGGTGACTGCGGGCGCCCTGAACCTGGCACAGGCAGTGCAGGTGAACGTGGAGGGGGGCTGTGCCCTGCCTGATCCCTGTGACTCGGGGCCCTGCCCCCCCCACAGCTACTGCAGCGATGATTGGGACAGTTTCTCATGTCGCTGCCACCCCGGTGAGCAGGGACCCCCTAGACCCCTGACACCCCCTCAACATACCCAGACATCCCTCAATAGCTCTGGACACTGACACCCCTGTGACGCTCTCTTCTGCCACTCCAGTGAACTGGGACACCCTGAGACACCCCCAGCAGCCCCCCAACACTCCCTGACACCCTCCTGACACAGCCCAACACCGCCAGGATGCTGACATACCTGTGACATCCTTCATTTCTATGCCTTTGACTGAAGACCCCCTGACAACCCCTGACATCCCCTGACACCCTATGGGACACTGATACCACTGAGACACCCCTGTGAAACCCCCTACTGCTACCCCGCTGAGCAGGAACTCCCTGGAACACCTGAAAAGTCCCAACACTCCCTGAAATACTGTCACCCCTGCGACATCCCCCACTGCCACCCCGATGACTGGAGATCCCCTGGCACCTCCTGACAGCCCTGAGACACTGCCATCCCCAGCACTGCCACGCTGTTGCCCCAACAACACTAGCCTTCCTGGGCACCACCACTCCATCCCTGTCACCAGGGTAGTGCCACCCTGCTGTCACTGTCACCTGGACACTGCCACCCCCGTCAGTGTTTCTTAGGCACTGCCAGCCTCCCTGGGCACTGCCAGCCTTGTCCCCAGGTACTGCCTACCCTCATCCCTGTGCCCTAAGCACTGCCACCCCCTCTCACTGTCCTCAAGGCATTGCCACCCTCCCTTGTCACTGACACTTCTTATCACTGTCACCCCTCAGCCCCATCCCTGTCTCCCATTACTGTCCCCTGTTGTTACCCCCAACCCTATTCTGTGCCCAGGGTACTTCGGTGACAGCTGTGTCAGTGCCTGTGCCCTGGACCCCTGTGAGCCTCCAGGCACCTGTACCCGCCGCCCAGGCACGGCCCCTGGCTATGCCTGTCACTGTCCCCCAGGCACCTTCGGGGCCCTCTGCCAGCACCGGTTGGTGACACTGTGGGGCACACGTGTGTGCTGAAGGAGCATGGAGCATCCGGGGGGGGGGGGCACTGCGAGGGACACCGGGGGCAGGGAGTGAGTGGAGGGTGGGCATCTGGGGTAGGGTGGGTGTGCAGTGGGCACAGTGGCTGTGCAAGAGCGGTGGTGAGTATGCAATAGTCAACTGTGGATGAAAAGTGGTACTGGGGGTGTAGAAGTGGCACAGTGGGGGTGCAAGGGGCACTGTGGGGGTACAGGTGGCACTGTGAGGGTACAAGTGGCCATGTGGGTAGGCAAGGGACCATGTGGGTGTACAAGTGGCATTATGGGGGTATCCTGGCATGGTGCCCAAGTGCCAGCTCCAGTGTCCCCAGGGAGGTGCAGCCATGCCCGCGGGGGTGGTGGGGACACCCTACGTGCGGCCCCTGCAGCTGCGATGTCACCCACGGCTTCGACCCAGACTGCAACAAGACCACGGGGGAGTGTCGCTGCAAGGTGGGACCTGCCAGCCCTTGTCATCTCCCCTGCCAACCCCTGCCATCCTCCTGTCACCCCTCTGTTTTCCCCTGCCATCTCACATCCCATCACTGCCCTGTCACCCCCTATCATGCCCCCAACAACCCTCCAGTCACCTCTCTGCCCCTCCTTGTCATCCCCTGTCAGCCCCCTCACCCCATCCCCGTGCCTACAGTGACCCTGTGTCCCCTTAGGACAACCACTACCGCCCACCAGGAGGGGACACGTGCCACCCCTGTGAGTGTTACCCCACTGGGTCACTGTCGCGCCGCTGTGATGCCAACACTGGACAGTGTCCCTGCAAAGCTGGTGTCATCGGCCGCCACTGTGACCGCTGTGACAACCCCTTTGCCGAGGTGACAGCCAGTGGCTGTGAAGGTGGGAGACTGTCAACTTGTGTCACCCTGTGCCACCCTGTGTGCCCACCGTCACCCTGTTGTCACCCTCCATTACTCTGTCACCTTGTGTCACCCTGTGTCCCCCTGTGTCACCTTGTATCATCCCTGAGTGCCAGTGACCAGGTACTACTCTCACTCTGCTGTCACCCTGCTGACCCCCATTGTCACATCGTGTCACCTTGTGTCACCCCGCTGTCACTCGGTGTCACACTGGTGTCACTCTGCTGTCATCCTCTGTAGCCCTACACCATCCTGTGCCATCTTGATGTCCCCTGCTCTGCCACAGCTGTCACCTTGGGTGCCAGTGAGTGCCATTGTCACCGTGTATCACCCTGTGTCACTGTACTCTGTCCTGTTGCAAACTTGTGTCACCCTGTGTCACTCCGAGTGCCAGTGACTGGGTGCTACTGTTACCCTGCTGTTACCCTGTGCTACCCTGGATTACTGCATTGTCACTTTGTGTCCCCTGCTGTCACCTTACTGTCACCCTGGCTGCTGGCAACTGAGTTCCACCAGCACCTTGGTTGTTGATGTAATTCCATTTACATCTTTTATCACCCCACTGTCACCCTCTGTCACGCTGCTGTCACACTGCTATCACCCTGTGCCACTATGTCACCCTACTTTCACCCTGTGTTATCCTTTTGTCACCCTGCTCTGCCACTGCTGTTAGCCTGCGTAACACCCTGGGTTCCAGTGACCAGATGCCACTGCCACCCTACTGTCACATTGTGCCACCCTGCATCCCTGATTTTGATGCCCTGTTGTGTCCCGCAGTGAACTATGACAGCTGTCCCCGGGCCATTGAGGCCAGCATCTGGTGGCCCCGCACTCGGTTTGGGCTGCCAGCTGCAGCCCCCTGCCCCAAGGGCTCTGTTGGTACGTGGGGACATGGGGACAGAGCGGGGGTGGCACTGGACACACTGCAAGAATGGGAATGGGGGTGACACAGTGGTGACATCACTGGGATGGGGCTGAGAGGGGTTGACACCACAGTGGCATCGCTTGGGTGGTACAGGGAGGTGACACCATGATTGCACTGCTGAGACATGATGGGAAGAGAGGATATGTCACATGGTGTCACTTTAGGGTGATGATATGGCAATGGCACCGCTGGGATGGGATGTTGACACCAGTGGGACAGGGCTGGGGTGTGTCATGGTGGTGGCACCAGTTGGATGGAGCTGGGGTAGGGTGGCACCATGGGGCATCACTGGGACAGGGCAGGGGGTGATACTGTTAGTGGCATTATTGGGTTGGTACAGGGAGGTGACACTGTGGTGGCACTGCTAGGGTGGATCAGGGGTGGTGACATGTTTGTGGTATCACCAAGATGGATTGGGGATGAGCTGAGTGTGGACTTGTTGAGATGAGGCTGGGGTTGCCACCGTGGTGTCACTGCAAGAGTGTGACACTGGTGGCATCATTGGGACAGGACTAGTGGCTGTCATGGTGGTGTCACTGGGGGGTGGCACAGGAGTGTGACGCTGTGGTGACACAACTGGGATGGGGCATGTCACCACTGGGACAAGGTTGGAGGCACCACTCTGGTGTTACTGCGGGGCGGAGCAGGAGTGTGACACTGGCAGCACTGCTGGCATGCTGTGAGATGAGGCTGCCCTGTTGTCCCCACGGTGCACTCAGTATCCCCATCCCACAGGCACGGCACTGCGCCACTGTGACGAGCACAAGGGCTGGCTGCCCCCCAACCTCTTCAACTGCAGCGCTCTGGCCTTTGCTGCCCTTCGCCCCTGGGTGAGATGGGGGAACACCAGCGGCAGCCGTACGACAGTGCCACTGGGGCTCCCCTGACTCTGTGTGTGTCCCCCACAAGGCAGAGCAGCTGGTGGGCAATGAGTCCCGATGGGATGCGGGGCAGTCCCGGCGCGTGGCGCTGGCACTGCGTGAAGCAATGCGTGAGGCCCGCGGGTACTTTGGCAGTGATGTGCATCTGGCATATCAGCTGGCAGGGGCCCTGCTGCGCCATGAGAGCCGCCAGCGTGGCTTCCGCCTTGCTGCCACCCAGGACGTGCACTTCACCGAGGTGGGCATGAGGTCACAGGGATGGGGACATGCCCAGAAGGGGAATGGGTGAAGTAGAAAAGAGGTTGGGATGATGAGCACCCCCATAGGGAGGGATATGGGTACATGAGCCCAGATACTGGGGTGATAGGCACCCTCCTGGGGAGGGGGATTGGGGCAGAAGGTCAGATACCAGTGTTGAGCCCCCATCTATGGGGGCAGAAGCCAGGCTGATGGGCACTGATATGTGTGTGAGAGGTGTTGGTACAGGAAGCTGGATGCCAGGTTGATAGGCACCTGCCTGGGGAGGGGAACTGGGGAAGGAGGCCATACAATGGGGTAGTGAGCACTCTGGTGGACAGGGATGTGGGTGCAGGAGCCCACACACCAGAGTGATGGGCACCCTTGTAGGGGAGGATATTAGGGCAGGAGAGCAGATACCCGGGTGATGGGCATTGGAGAGGGAGGCTGAGAGAGAAAGAAAAGAGGTTGGAGTTATGGGGACCCATGTGGGGAGTGTCATATTGGGGCAAAATGTCAAACACTGGGGTGATGGGCACCTGCATGGGTAGGGGGAAGGTGTTGGTGCAGGAACCTGGCTGCCAGGATGGATGGCACCCACCTGGGAAGGGTATTGGCGAGGGAGCCCATGCACCAGGGTGATGGGCATCTACCTAGAGAGGAATGTTGGTGTAGGAGGTCTGATGCCAGGCCGGTGGGCACCCCTGAGCAGCAGGTGTTGGTGTGGCTCAGGGTGCACCCTCAACTTTGTGGGGGTACAGCACCCCCATTTCCCCACTGTCGGTGCCAGTGTGCCCCAGCTGTAGAATCCTGCAGGGGAGGTTAGGGATCCCCTGGCCAGGCCCTAAAGTGCCAGCTCCCAGTGCCACTACCACTGCTTTGCCTCCAGAACCTGCTACGGGTCGGCAGTGCACTGCTGGACATGGGGAACAAGCGGCACTGGGAGCTGATCCAGCAGACGGAGGGTGGCACGGCCCAGCTGCTGCAGCACTTCGAGGAATACGCACGAGCCCTGGCACGGAATATGCCCCAGACTTACCTCAGCCCCTTCACTATTGTCACCCCTAACATCGGTCAGTGGGGACATGCATGGCCAGAGGGCTGTGATGGGGGGTATCTGCCTGGGAACCTAGGCGTGCTGGGAACATGTGTGTGCATGGGGGATGTATGTGCTGGGGACATGGACATGTGTGTGCTCAGGGACATGTGTGTGCTCAGGGGCTGTGTGTGTGTTGGGGACCTGGATGTGTTTCTGGGAACACAGATGTATATACCTGGAGTAGGTGTGTGCCTCGGGACGTGTGTGCACAGGAACATGCCAGCTGAGGATGTGTGTGCACAGGGACTCGTGTGCTGGGAGAATGCATGCATGTGTGATGTGTACCTGGGAACATGTTCTGGGGACATGGACATTTGTATGGCTGGAAAACGTGTCCTGGGAAACATGGGTGTGCCTAGAGGCATGTGTGTGTCCCTGGGGACATGGGCTGTGGTCTGTGTGTCGCAGGGTTGGTGGGTGCTGGGATCAGTGGGTGTCAGGATCCATGGCCCTGGGCTCAGTGGATGCTGGGCTCAGTGGATGCTGGGGTCCATGTGCCTGAGGGTTGGTGGCTGCTGCTGTCTGTGGGTGTATGGATTCATTGCTCTGGGGTTGTTGGATGTCGGGGTCAGTGGGTGCTGGAGTTTGTTTGTGCCGAGTTTGGTGTGCCCTGGGATTAGTGAATGCAGAGGTTGGTGTGCCCTGGGGTCAGTGGGTGCCAAGGTCTATGTTCCCCAGGGCCAGTGTGTACCAGCACTGGTGGGAGCTGGCATTGGTGTGTACTGAGCTTGGTGGGCCCTGGGATCAGTGAATGCTGGGATTGATATGTCCTGGGGTTGGTGGGAGCTCAGGGTTAGTGGGTGCCATGCCATGCCATGACATGCCGTGAGTAATGTGGTGCCACAGTGGTGTCGGTGGTGCGGCTGGACAAGAGCAGCTTTGCGGGTGCCCGCCTGCCACGGTATGAGGTGCTGCGGGGGGAGAAACTCCCGGACCTGGAGACGACCGTCATCCTGCCTGACAGCATCTTCTGGCCCCCTGAGGACAGGCGTGAGTCCAGGGCGTAGGGGGACAGGGGGCAGGGTTGGGGATCCACTTGCACTCATGGGGCTGGCAGGGCTTGGGAAGCCCCCCATTTGGCCATGGGGACATGGCACAGCTGGGGACCCTTGGCTGGGGGCTCTCAGGGATGGGGGAACCCCAAAATGCCCATGGGCTAACAGGGTTGGGAATCCCAGTGCCACCATGGGGACCCCAATGTAGCCATGGGGCTGCCAGGTTTAGGAACCCAGGATGGTACTGGCATGGCCAGGACCCTGGTAAGGATGATAGGATCAGGGACCTTAGGTTGGCATCAGAGATCCTCGTGTAGCCGTGGTGGTGGGCAGAGTTGTGGACACAAGTGTGACCATGGGGACCTCATTGTGGTCGTGGAGCTGACAGGGTTGGGGACCCTGGTGTGGACATGGGGACCCCTGGAGCTGGAAGTGTTGGGGGAAGCTTGTGGTCATGGGACTGGCAGAACTGGGGACTCCAGGGTGGCCATGGGGACCCCAATGAGGTCTCAGAGCACCATGCTACCCTCTGCCCATGGCCCCCAGGCTCCTCAACTGGGCATGGGCAGGCACCACAGGGCACAGGTGGGCAGGAGGAGGAGGAGGATGAAGCAGGCGAAGAGGAGGAGGAAGAGGCAGGGATGACTGTGGTGACCCGGCACAAGCGCCACCCATCCCTGGGTGAGGGCCAGGCCATCGCCAGCGTCATCATCTACCGCACCCTGGCCGGTCTCCTGCCCCAGCACTTCGACACCGACAAGCGCAGCCTCCGGTGCCACTGGGGATGGGGGCTTGGGGGGGCTGCGGGTGGCACATAGAGTGGCAGGGAAAAGCCAAGCATCTGGGAAGTATAGGGGGATGGGGGCAGGGGTGTCCTGAGGGATCCCGAGGGAGGGATGGGAAAGGGGGCATATGGGGTGCCCAAGGCTGGGGGGCACAGAGAGTGCATGAAGACGGGGGGGTAGAGGATTGGGGAGGTGGCTCAAGGCATGCCCAAGGATGGTGCCCATAGGGTTCCCAGAAAAGGGGGCACAGGGGAGAAAGGGTGCCCTCATAGTGTCTGTGTGGTGCCAGGGCACTCTGTGGCACCAAAGTGGGTTTCTGGGCACTGAGTGGGCTCCCTGACCCCGCTGCACCTCAGCGTGCCCAAGCGCCCCATCATCAACACACCAGTGGTGAGCATCAGTGTGCACATGGGAGGCACGGATGGCGTGGGGGGCGCGGGGACCCCCCAGGCGCTGGCCAAGCCTGTCACCCTCCAGTTCCGGCTGTTGGAGACCCAGGAGCGCTCCAAGCCCATCTGCGTCTTCTGGAACCACTCTTTATGGTGAGGGCAGGACAGGGGACACCCCAGGGGTGACAGGGACATCCCAGGGGATAGGGACATGGGATTGGGGATGGGAACACCTTGGGGAAGATGGCAATACTCCAGAGGGACAAGGGATCTCCCCGGAGAGACAGGGGACCTGGGGATAAGGACACCCAGGGGAACAGGAGATATCCCAGGGAACACCCTGGGGGGACGAGGACGTCTTGGGGAGTCAAGGACGACATGGGGAGACAGAGACGTGCTGAGGTAAGAGGGATCATGGCACACACCAGGGGAAAAGGAAACACTCTGGGAGAGGGGCCATGGAAATGGGGACACCCCAGGGAGATGGGGACACTCTGGGGCAACAAGGAGCACGGGGGGTGGGGACATCCCATGGAGACAGGGGGGATTGTAACAGGGATAGGGACACCTTGAGGCGATAGGGGACATGGGAATAGGGACGTCTTAATGGGACAGAGGACATTCTGAGGGGATAGGGAACATGGGGACAGGGCAGGATGGATGCCCCAGTGTCCCTGCGGGTCATGGATGAGTAACATGGGAACAGGACATGAAGGGGCTGCTCTGACCCTGGTGGGTGTCAGGGATAGGATGGGAGGTTGTCCCCAAATGGAAGAGTGTTCCCGGGTGAGTGTCCCTGGTGAGTGAGTGTCCCCAAGTGGCAACGGTTGTCCCTGCTGGGTGGATGGATGTCCCTGGGTGTATGTTGTCCGTGGATGTACCTGCTGGGTGTGTGTCCCTGTGGGAGGGTGACGTTACTGGGTGTCCCCAGTGCGTGTGTCCCTGGTGGGTGTCCAAGTGTGTGACCCCTTGTGTCCTGGGCTGGGTGCATGTCCTTGGGTGGGGGTGGATGTTCCCTGTGGGTGTCCCTGGTGGGTGTTCCCAGTGTGTATGTGTGTGTGTATGTGTCCCTGGTGGGTGTCCTGGCTGGTCTCCCGGCTTGTGTCACCTTCTGGTGCTGCGCAGGGCGGGCAGTGTAGGCGGCTGGTCGGCACGAGGCTGCGAAGTCGCCTTCCGCAACCAGAGCCACGTCAGCTGCCAGTGCCACCATCTGACCAGCTTTGCCGTCCTCATGGACATCTCCCGCCGGGAGGTGGGGACATAGGGGTACACGGATGGGTGCATGGGGACACAAGGGAACAGATGTGACACGGGGAGGGGGAGGGACACAGTGACTCTGGGGCATGGAATGACTCAGGGTGAGGGCCCTGGTGGGGACATGGAGGTGGGTGGAAACATGTGCAGAAACAGGGTGTCAGTGGGTGCCAGGCACAGGGGTAGAGCTTTAGGGACAGGGACGGGGTTTTCGATAAAAGGGGAGGGACAGAGATAGGAGGGGCTTGGCAGAATGGGAGGGGCGTAGTTGGGTAGGGTCAGGGTGGAGGTGTGCGTGCCCATGGAGGCGGGACAGAGGGGAAGTAGGTGGGGCTTAAACGGGGTGGTGCTAAATCCAAGGGGTCGGCTAAATGAGATGGGCGGGGCTATGTTAGATCGGTCTTTGCTCCCCCAGGGGCGGGTCCAGTCAGCTCGAGGGATTCCAGTGGGTGCAGCTGAGCGGGCTGAGCCAGTCGGTCTCCAAGGGGCACAGCTGTTGTGGGTGGGGTTACAAGAGGTGCGGCTGAGTGATGTTGGCCTGTTTTCAGAGACTGTGGCTGAGTAATGTAGGCAGGATTTCCTGGGGCGGGGTTGAAAACTGTGGGTGGAGTGTAGAGAGGTGTGGTCAGTGCTGTGGGTGTGGGCAGGGGGTAGGGTGGAGTACAGTAGGTAGGGCTGAAAGGGGCTGAGGATGTGGGTGGGGTTTTGAGGGCCATGGTTGAAGTGCTGTGACTGGGGGTTTCAAAGGGTGGGGTTACCAGAGCTGAATGTGGGCAGGACTTCCCAGGCCCAGGCACTGATTGCTTTGTAAAGGGAACCATGTCTCTGTTGATGGGGATGTCTTGGGGGGCATGCTCTCTGAGCACATGCCTGACATATACCCATCCTGATGCTGCAGAACGGGGAGGTGTTGCCGCTGGCAGCACTCACTTACGGCTCACTGGGAGTGGGGCTGGCGGGGCTGGCGCTGGTGGTCCTGGCCCTGGGGACCCTGAGGCGGCTGCGCTCCAACCGCCACAGCATCCGCCGGCATGGTACAGCTGCACTGCTCCTCGCACAGCTTGTCTTCCTGCTTGGCATCAACCAGGCCGATGTCCCGGTGCGTGCAAAAAGGGGGCTGGGAAAGGCTGGTTGGGTTAGGGGATGTGTTGCTTTTGAAGTGTTTGGGTTGGTGGGGCTGACATGGGTAGGGCTAAGGAGTGGACACGGACATGGTGGGCTGGGCCTAAGCGGTGGCTTCCAAAAGACATGAGGACTATAATGGGTGGGGTCTGTCAAAGGGGTGGTGATCTGAAGGGGTGGAAGGGCTTCCAAAGCAGTGGGGCTGATAAATGGAGTGAGGCTCCCTAAGGGGTAGATCTCATCAAAGGTGTTGGCTCTCAAGGGGGTGGGGCCCATCAAAGAGGTGGGCCACTCGAGGCGTGAGGCCTATAAAGGGAGTGGGACCTTTTCGAGGAGTGTAACCTCAACAGAGGAATGGCGTCTCGAAGGGGGTGGAGCTTGGGAGTTGTGCATATGATCGGAGGGTGGGCTGTGGGCATGGGCTGGCAGTGACGGGGTGGGTGCAGCTGGCGTGCACCGTGGTGGCCATCCTGCTGCAGTTCCTGTACCTGAGTGCGGTGGGCTGGGCGCTGCTGGAGGCGCTGCACCTGTACCGGCGCCGCAGTGAACCCCGTCACGTCGACCGTGGTCCCATGCGCTTCTACCATGTACTGGGCTGGGGACTGCCTGCATTCATCACTGGTGAGCCCTGCTGTGAAACCCTGCTCTCATTCTGACCCCGCACCCTGGACCACCAGCTGCCCATCTCCACCTGGGTCAACACTTTCTGGTGGCTACGCACCCCTTTCTAGGCTATGGCCTTGCCGCCTGAATCCCTGTCCCCCCCAATCAATTTGATGCATGATGGGGTCCTATTCCCATGTGTAACCCCACCCCCAGAATATATGCCCACCCCCAAATGCATCTTTACCAGTATAGCCACTCCCCTGGATATAACCCTGCCTCCAACAGGATAGTCATGCCCAATCCAAAACAGCCCCACCCTAAGAGTTTAGCTCCACCCTTAACCACCATAGCTCTACCCTGATGGTTTTAGATACACACCTGGAGTCATAGCTGTTCCCATCTATTAGACCCAGTTCCCAAGATTTTAAACGGGCCCGTGGGTCCATAATCCTACCCTCATTCATCATAGCTCTTCCCCCAAATTTTCAGACACACTCCCGGGGTCATACCCCCTCCCAAAGAGTACAACCCTGGCCCAACCTTTTATCTCCACCACAGGAGTTTAGTCCCACCGTCATCCATCATATCCACACCCCAAGAGCATCTTTCCCAACCTCTTCAATATGCCTCCAGGGCCACAGCCCTTTTCCATCAATCATAATCAGATACTTCCCCAGGATTTTAGCCCCGCCCTTATCAGCATAACCCCACCCCAAGTGAATAGACTTGTAATAACCTCTTAGACAAGCCCCCAGTGCTATATCCCTGCTCTCATCAACACTGCCACACGCCCAAGAGTTTAGACATACCCCATTGTAATAGCGCTGTCTCTACCCAGCATAGCCACACCCCCGAAAGCAGCACTTTCCCGCCCGCCCTGTGCCATCCATGAGCCATTCCATGACCCGTCCTGCCATCGCTTCGCTATTTTTAGCCGCACCCCTGTCTTCTCTCTTAACCCCGCCCACTAAGTGGGCCCCGCCCCTGATCTCTCCTTCGCAGGGCTGGCGGTGGGGCTGGACCCCGAGGGCTACGGGAACCCTGACTTCTGCTGGCTGGCCCTGCACGACAGCCTGGTTTGGAGCCTGGCTGGGCCCTGCGCTGCCGCTCTCGCTGTGCGTACAGGGCTGGGGGCTGGGGGCTGGGGAGGGCAGGGGACCCCTTATCACCCTGCTCACTCCCTGCATCCCCTGCACCCCCAGGTTGGCATCCTCTTCCTGGTGCTAGCGGCTAGGGCCACCTGTGCCACCCCCCAGGGCTTTCAGAAAAAAGGCTCAGCGTGAGTCACCCAGTCGGGGTCACCCACGGGGGGCAGGGGACACGGTGGGGATGGGGTTGCCCGTGGGAGCATGGGAAGTTGGGGCACCCACAGAGGCTAGGGGGCACCCATGGGGGGCTGGCCTTCTGGGGAACCTGCAGAGGCCAGGGAGGCACAGGAGAGACTGCGGCATCCATGGGGCCAGGAGGGCACTGAGGACTGGACTGCCTAAGAGGGGTAGGAGGGGATGGGGGGCTGGAGCATCTATAGGGGCAGATGAGCACAGGGCATCCATGGAGCGGCAGAGGGGCATGGAGAGCAGGGGTGTACAGGGGGCTGGAGCCAATAGGGAGCATGGGAGGTTGGGGCAACTGCGGAGGGCAGGGAGGGACCAGGACACCCATGGTGGGTAGTGGGATATAGAGGTCTGGGGCACCCATTGAGGGCGGGGTGCTCAGGAGGTTGGGGCACCTATGGAGGGCAGGGGGACATCAAGGGCGGAGGCACCCATGGGAGGCTGAGGGGGTCAGGGGAGACTGGGGCATCTAGCGGGGCAGAGGGGCCCAGAGCACCCATGGGGAGGCAGAAGAGCATTGGGGGCAAGGGGCATGTGGGGCTGGGGTTAGGATGGGCCCATGTTGAACAGGGGAGCTCAGGGGGCTGGAGCACCCATGGAAGGCAGAGTGGGTCAGGTGGGGCTTGGGGCATCTGGAGTGGGAGGGGGACATAAGGGGCTGGGGCAACCCCGGGAGGCAGAAGTACAGAGGGCGGTGATATGAGATATCATTGGGGTGACACTGGGTTGCTGTTGGGGTGCCCAGGTCTGGAGTGCGCACAGCTGCAGTCCTGCTGGCCGTGCCCAGCCTGGCCTGGCTTCTGGCCCTGCTCTCAGTCAACAGTGACACGTTACTCTGTCACTACCTGTTTGCCGCCTCCAACTGCCTCCAGGTCAGTGGGGACCACCTGAGACTCCACCCCTGGGACCCCCAAAACACAGCCCTGGAACCTCCAGAGCTGCCATGCCTGGGACCACCAAAAACTCCAGAATCCCAAAGCCTTCACCCCTGGGATCCCCAGCGACCACCACCCCTGGGACTCCCAGAAACCCCAGAGCCCCCTGAACCTCACACCCTTGGGACTTCCAGAGTCCCACATCTATTTGTGGGACATCCAGTGGGCACAAAGGGGTCCTTTGCCATATCCAGAGCATTAATGGGAGGTACCCAGTGTGTATGGCAGTCCCTCATCCTGTCTGATATATCCGAGGGGGGCACCTAGTGGGTGTGGGGGGGACCCTCAGTTTCTTTGAGGTGCCAATGGGATGCACCCAGTCTGGATGGTGACCCCTTGACCAGTAGGGGTGCTGCTGGGATCCTCTCAGGCTGTACACACCCTTCCTTGTCCCCCCTTCCCCCTCTCTGCCCAGGGCCCCCTTATTTTCCTGTCGTGTGTGGTGCTGAGCAAGGAGGTGCGGAGGAGCCTCTGCCTGAGCTGTTCCCGCTGCCACCACCCACCGCTGGCTACCAAGGCCACCCTGACCCCCGTGAGTGCTGGGGGACACGGGGGGATGCCGGGTAGCAAAGGGCAGCCTGTGCCATGGCTGTGACATCCCTGTGCCCTTGGCAGGCCTATGGCAGGGACAGCACATACGTGGCAGGGCGGCTGTATCCCCCCTCAGGTGGTGGGTCCTCGGGGTCCCTGCATAGCACTGCACGCTCGGGCAAGAGCCACCACAGCTACATCCCCTTCGTGCGGCGGTACTGGGCACAGCAGGGGCTGGGGCGTGGGTTTTTATTGGGTCCTGGGCTGCTGTGGACACTGGGATGACAAGATAGAATGGTGACAGGATGGTGGGGTAGCAGGATGGCATGGGGGTAACTGGGATGTCAGGATGGTGGTTGGTGGTTGGTGAGGGTGCTGGGGCAGTGGCATGGTTGCATGGCAGTACAGTGGCAGGGTGGTAAGCAGATGGCATGGTGAGGTGGCAGGGTGGTGGCAGAGTGAGGGGTTGATGGGGTGGCAGGGGGAGGTGTGGGTGATGGATATCAGGGTGTTGGGTGTCGGTGGTGGATATTGTGTCAGTGGGTTGGTGTCAGTCAGTGGGTGACAGTGGATGGTTAAGTGTTCATGAGTGGGGGTCAGGTGCTGATGAGTATTGTGTCCCCACAGGGAGGACTCAGGGCTGGCAGGCAGCCCGGGGCTGGTGCCACTGCCTGAGTCTGGGGGGCTCTTCCTTGATGCCCAGGACCAGCCCGAGGGTATGGCCTCACCCATAGGGCAAGTGCACCCAGCCTCGGTCCAGGAGGCAGGAGGTGTCTCAGGGTATCCTGTGACCTATGACCCCCCAGAGCACGACACGGACTCGGACAGTGACCTGTCCCTGGACGACCCGAGTGGCTCCTATGGCTCCACACATTCCTCTGACAGCGAGGATGAGGCCCCCCGTGGCTGGGACCCCCTGCCTGGGGCTCCCTCGGGTCCCCCCAGCCCTGGTAACACCCCCAGGGGGCACCCTGTGGAGATGGGGGACCTTCAACCTGGCTGGGTGCTAATGGGGGGAACACTCAATGGGTTGGGGGAGGTCCCTTGCCTTCTCCAGGACGCTGATGGGGGGCACCTCGTGGGGATGGGGGTTCCTTGTCCAGTCTGGGGTGGTGATGGGGGACCTGAAAGGTTTGGGGGGTTGCTCACGCAGTCAGAGGTCCTAGTGGGGGCACCTGGAGGGAAGGATGCCCCCTTGTCTGGTCTGGGGTGTGGATGGAACTGACAAAATGGGTTTGGGTACATCCCCCACACTGACTACGTGCTGATGGAGGCACCCTCTGAGGATGGGGGGGGTCCCTGGTCCTGCCTGTCCCAGCTTCCTTCCTTCCCCACAGGTGACCCCCTGGTGCCCCCGGCGTGCCCATACTGGCCAGGGGAGTTTGTGACGAGAGCGAGTGAGAGCGAGGGACCAGGAGGTAGTGAGGGGCTGCAAGTGCAGCCAGCAGGGGGCCAGGGACACCTCTGGGGTGACCACCCGCAGCACAACGGCGAGGCACTCCCCAGGGACCTCCTGCTGCTGCCCCTGCCCCACCCCCACAAAGGTACGGGCTGCCATGGCAAGGGTGGGCACTCCAATCTGACCTCCCCACCCATGGGTGATGCTGCCCCCGCAGGGATCCTGAAGAAGAAGTGCCTGCCCCCCATCAGTGAGCGCAGCAGTACCCAGCGCCCTGGGCCGCCCCCACCGCCTCCCGCTTGCACGGCTGCCTCCTCTGGCAGCGACGGGGGGGCCCCCCCGGTCTCCCGGCCTCGGCAGAGCCTCCAGGAGCAGCTCAGTGGCCTTACCCCCATTGCCATGAGCATTCACACAGGCACCGCTGATGAGGACTCCTCTGGCTCTGAGTGAGTGCCCAAAACATCTGAGGGGTGCTCAGTGGGAGTTCTTTAGGTGTCAGGGTTCCCTCTGGGCACCCACTGGGTTGGAGGATGCCCTTGGGATGCCAGGATTCCTGTTGGGTGGACAAGCAGTCAAACACTGCTTGTTGGGTACCCTTTGGGTGCCTATCAGGTGCAAGGATGGCTGGGTACCAGGGTGCTAAGGTTCCCATTGCACTCTCATTCGGTGCCAGGGTTTCTCTCAGGTGCCCACTGGGTACCCATTGGCTCCAACACTGCTTGTTGGCTGCCCATCAGGTGCCACAGTACTGACTGGACACTCATTGGGTGTAATATTACCTGTCGGGTATCCATCTGGTTCCAGAATTCCCACTGGATGTCCACTGGGTGCCCAACAGGTGCCCTTTAGATGCCCATCAGGTGCCAGGGCTCTTTCTTGGGTGCTCATCAGGTCCCAGCAGTCTATTTGGGCACTCATTGGGTGCCAGGGTGCCCACCAGGTGTAAGGGTGTTTGTCAGGTGTCCACAGAGTGCCAGGGTAACTGACAGGTGACCGTTGGATGCCAAGATTCCTCTTGGGTGCCCATGAGGTTCAAAGGGCGGCTGTTGGGTGCCCAGTGAGTGTTGGGGTGCTCATTGAATACCCATTGGATGCCTATAGAATACTGGCCTAACTGTACCCACTGGATGCCAACTGACTGTCCATGGGTGCCCACTGACCATTGGATGTTCATTGTGCATCCATTGACCATTTTGTATCCATTCGGTGCCCACTGGGTGCCTAATGACCTCTGGATGGACACTAGGTGCCCATCAGGCCTAATAGCACCCATTGAGTGTTGGGGTGTTGGAGTGCCTGTTAGGGCGCCCACTGGGTGTTGAGGTGCTCAGTGGATGCTGGGATGTCCACTGGATACCCTCTGACCACCCCCAGATGCCCAGGGCAGAGCTGGCATGGCAGCACTAACCCTACTCTTCTCTCTCCCTCTATTCCCCAGATTTCTGTTTTTTAATTTTCTCCATTAACCCAAGGGGGCTGGGGGCCTCCCCTCCAACCCCACCCCTCCATCTCCCCCCACAGGTGGGCGCTGGGTGCTGGGGGGCACAGAGGGCACCCTAGTACCCACCTCCCCCATCACGCATCTGTCTGTCTTGTTTTTTATTCCACCCACCTTCCACTTTGTATTCATCCCCCCGTCTGTCCATCCCCCTCACCAGGAGTGACGAGACCTCGATCTAATGGGGACCCACCCAGCGGGCAGCCCACCCACTGTGCCAGGGACACCAGGACAGGGAGGGCACCAGGTTGGCGGGTGGGGGGACACACCACGACTGGGGGGGCGCAAGGACTGGGAGGACATCAGGAAGGGGCAGAGAGCCACAACCCCCCTACTGCACTTTGTATCCTTGCAGGGATTGGCACCTTGTGGGTGTGGCACAGGGTGCCCGTTGCCCCCTCATGATCAGCCCCAGCCCCTTTGCCCAGCAGAGTGTTTTATTTAAAAAATACATGAAAATACAAAGAAAGGAATTTATAACCAACTTCCTCCATTGTGACAACCTCCCCTGCCCCCCAAGGTGCCAACCCCCCACAAAGGTGTCACCCGTCCGGTGGTGCCAAGTCCCCCAGGTCGGGGGCATGTGGAGAGGGATCAGTTGGGGGTTACAGGGGATGTCTGGGACCCCTCTGCCCAGGGGTGAGGCTCAGGTGGGGGAACCCAGGGATGGGTGTTGGGGGGATGAGGGACCCCTGGGTGCTGGGGGGACGTGGGGGATTTCCTACTGCTGATGGGATCTTTTGTAATTAAAGCAAAACCCAATGAGTGCCTCGGCTCATCCCTGGGGAGGCCCCTGGCTCTGCCAACCCAACCTCAGTTGGTCCCTGGAGGTTCCAGCTCTGCAACCCAACGGGTGCCTTGGCTGCTCCCTGGGGACCCCTGGTGCTGCCTGCCTCCTTCCAAAACCCAGTGGATGCCTCAGCTTATCTCTGGGGTGCCCTTGGCTTTGCCCCCCCCAGCCTAGGTACCCTAGGGGGGGTCCGGGTGCCCCCAGGGCCTCTGGGTGGGTGTGGGGTGGTTTGGGGGTATCACCTCGGGGTACTGCTCACCGCCGTCTTGCGGGTGGGCCGCAGGCGAGCAGGGGGGGATCCTGGTTTGCACCCCGAGGCAGCAGTTAGGGGGGCTGCCCGTGCTGCCCCCGTGCCTGCAAAACGAAGCCATAGGGAAACTGAGGCACGGGGGAGGGGGCATTCCCTGCACCCCCCCAACCCCACTACATCCTTACCTCTGGGGATGGGGGTCCTCCCACCCACTGCTGGAGTCCGAGGGGACACCTTGGGGAGGGCAGTGGGTGCTGGGGAACAGCTAGAAGGGACAGGGGTGGTGGTGGTCCTGGTGTGGAACTGGCGAGTGTGGGGGGGGCAGGGGACTGTGCCCCCCCTTGCCTTAGGCTGGCCTGGGGAGAGAGGGAGGGTTGGGGCATGGCCCAGGAACCTCCATGGCCATGGTGTTCCTGTCCCCTTGCCATCAGTACCTGCTGTCCCCCCCCGGGGGAGCTCTGACCTGCCCCGGGCACCAACTCCCTGCCCCTGAGGAGGGCACGGCCGGGGGAGGCCCACGCGGCTGGGGGGGAGCCCCCTGCTTCCCGAGGGTCCCTTTGCCACTGCTGTGGAATTACGGCTGGGGAGTGCCTGAAAATAGAAGGGGGAGACATGGGAACATCACTCAGTGAGTGCTCCCCACCCAGAGGGCTGGGAGGGCGTTTACAATGCCTCTTGGAGACAGGGGGGCACCCACTGGCCCCATATAGGATAGGTTTGGGGGGGGATCTGGGCGTTCAGCCCGGGTGGAACACCGCTACAGTGGGACCCCTACTCCCGGGTCTCACCTACCCTGGGTACACTGCTGGCAGCAGAGGCCCCCTGGGGCTTGGCGGGGAGATGGGAGATGGGGGCAGGTCCCCGCGACTCCACGATGGGCAGGAGCGCCCGCACCGGGCTGTCCTTCACCACGAAGGTCTGGCGGCGGGGGCTGCGGGGGGTGCCAGGGGGCGTGGCGGCGGGTCCCGGGGGGTCTCCAGGGTCGGGAGGGGGCAGGTGACATCCCTCCAGCTGTGCCGCCAGGCGCGTGGCCTCCCGCACCATCTCTTCCAGACGGGCCCCGCGCAGGGGACTCCAGCGCCCGTTGCCGCCCCCCCGGCACCCCCCGCTCGGGCTATCCTCAGCCTCCTCTTCCTCCTGGCTGCAGATGGGACGGGGAGGGAGAGGGGGGGAAGGTGATGTCAGCCCACAACGTCACTGCCAAGAAGTGGCGGGAACCCCCCATGCTATCCAGGACCCCATTAAGTGGGTGACACGTCCCCCAGAACCACATCTATGAGGGGGGCATGTCCACAGGACCCCCAGGACTCTGTTCATGGGGTGACATGTCCCCTAGGATCCCATATTTGGGGTGCGATGTCCCTTGTTGCCTCCAGAACCCCAACTATGAGTTGCCACATCCCCACAACCCCATCCATGGGGTGACACGTCCCCGAAGGATATTCACAATGAGGCGCCATCTCCCCCTGTCCTCCATGTCCCATCCTATTCCCCATGTCTCCAACTATAAGGTGCCCTGTCCCCCCTATTCTCATCTACGGGGTGCCCTGTCCCCACTACCCCCCCGGTACCTGTCAGATGGAGACAGCACGCCGAAGTCGAAGCTCTCCTCGGTGACAAATCGAACATCTGGGGGGACACTGGGGATGAGCCCCTGCCCACCCGCCCCAGGGGGGAAATACGGGGGACACGCAGCGCTGGTGCTGCCGTACCTCGGTCCTCGGCCATCGCCTCGGGGCACCGGGGCCACCTGCGGGAGCTGGGGGGTCACCACCGACCCCATCGGGGTCCCCCACCCGTGCCCCTACCCGCCCCCCGTGTGCCCAACCCCCCGCGGGGGCCCGGTGGCACCGGCCAGCGCGCGGGTGACACGGCCAGTGCCAGGCGCCGCCGGGCTCGGTGCCACCGGCATGGGGACAGGGATGGCTCCGCCGGCGCCAGTAGGCGGGGGTGACACCGGCGACCCCGCCGAGGAACCCACAGCCCAGCACCCCCAGTCTAGGTGTCCTCAGTGCCACAATGGGAGGTTCCAGCCCTGCACCCGAATCCCTGTGAGTCCCCAATGCCACATTGGTGGTTCCCAGCCGCTACTGGGGGAGTCCAATCCCGCTGGGAGGTCGCAGCCCCACACCCAGGGGAACCCCTGTCCCACACCCAGAGGGTTTCAGCCCCGCACCCTGATCCCGGCAGGTCCCCAGCTCCACACCGCGATCTCGGGGGATCCCCACTGGGGGACCCTATTCCTGTACCTAGGCGTCCTAGCCCTTCACCCCAATCCCTTGGGGACCCCAGCACCACACTGAGGGCTCCCAGTCCTGCATCCCGATCCCGAAGGGGTCCCATCCACATTCCTAGGCCTCCCAGCTCCCACGCGGTGGATCTCAGCCCCAAACCCGGATCCTGGAGGTCCCATTCCCACATCTGGTCCTCCCAGCCTCACACTGAGGGGTCTCAGCCCCATAATGGCGCGATCCCTCCCCGACATCTGGGGAATCCCCCAGGCACGCACCCCCAGCCCGAGAGACCCCAGTCCCACACTCAGGGGTCCCAGCTCCAGACTAAGAGGGTTCCAGCCCCACCGACGAGTCCTAGCCTCCCACCCCAATCCCTTGGTGACCCCAGCCCCGCACCCCAATCGCTTGGAGACCCCAGCCCCCCCCACAGTCTACACTGGGAGTCCAGGCCTCACAGTCCCAGCCCTGGGGGTCCTCAGTCCCTATCAAGAGGTCCCAGCCCCTCACCCATACCCCACGTCACCGCATCTCCGCATGGGGTGCTTTACCCCGCGCTCCGCCCCGATCTCCCCGCAGGCTTCTCCTCTACCCGGGGGTCCCGGTCTACCCCTTGTCCCCCCTGTCCCCCCCCCCACCTCACCGCCCCCGGCTCCCGCTCGTCGCGCGCGCCGAGGAGGC